AAATTTAAATTAGAAAGCAAAAAAATAAATTTTACCAAGATCAAACCAAACTTTGAAACTTCAAGTACCATGTTCACTTGTAAATCGGGGGAAAAAAATATTAATCGTTGTAATGGATTCAATTTATAATCAAATAACAAAATTTTTAAACTCTATAAACATATCAAAGTAATCTAAAATCGAAAATTTAATATGTAATAAGTGGAATTAGCATGAATAAATTAAGAAACTCAAGTAAAATTAATTACCATGTTAATTCAATTAACCTTAAATATTAATTTTAAACAAACCAACACATTTGAAAAAGAAATGATTAATCATCATCAATTCGGGATACATTTTAGGATTTAGATGGGTTTTTTTTAGGGTTTAAGTTACTATTTTTTGAAGTGGATTTTGATTTGGGAGAATAGGGTTTCGAGTCCGGTTGAGTTCTAGAGGTCTGTGGAAGAGTGATTTGGGGCTAGTTAAGTTTTGGAGTTGTAGCTAAATTAAATTATGAAAGCACAATGATTCAATTTCACTATTGGATTTGCTAAATCAAATAGGTATATTGCTTCTCAATTTGAAGTACTATAGGAAATAAACTACTGCTACTAAATAGCAAATTACAACATTGACAAAGCTTATATGATGAGCATGAAATACAATTCATTGTTCATGAGATATATATTCAAAGTATCAACGAGTTGTTTTTGATGTCCTATAAAGAGTAATTAAGAAAGGTAACGAGATGGAAGAAAAAATAGACCAATCATTTTGGAAGCTTGTTCAAGTCGATAACTTCTAGTTGTTGGCCAAAGCACAAACCCACCCAATCGAACACCTCTAGCACTATTTTGGTTCTTCTCCATCCTCGTAGGTGTTTCAAACTAAGAAGCTATCATCTTAAGCTTCCTTCGCATAGGAATTTTGAATGGAGTTTCAATAACTTGAGCGACAAAATAACAAATTATCTTTGGTATGACCTTATTTAGGGTTCGATTAGAAATTATGCAAAACAAAATGAAGCACAACATCATGAGCTTTCACTTCCTTGCATGTTCCTCTATTTTCTCACAAACGAAACAAAAGATTAACTAGAAAAGGCAAAAAAAATAAAAGGCGGACAAAAAATAAATGATTCCATGGTTCTACCAATTCACTAATACATAATCCTTAAGTATCCAATAACAATTCAACGATACAACGAATAACAAAAAACCTTTATATTTAATAAAAAATTTATTCTAGAAATAAATACCCCCAAAACTAGCTTTTCTCTATTTTCAATAGGAAAACATCAAAACCCAATAAAGACAAAGAAACCCCCAAAACTACCCATCTTAGTGAGCCAAAGTCTAGTCTCGACTCTACTTAGTAGTTTCCACTTGACCTTCTCCATAAAACAAATAGTGGTTTCGGGGTGTGGAAGATTGACGATGGGTGAAAAGTATTAGGAGAGCTATAGTGGGTTATAAGTTTGGTTGAGGGAGATGCGATTAGTAGCTTGACGAGTGGTTATAAGTAGTGAAAGGTAGTGGTTGGTGGCGGAAGGTAACTACATGGTGGTTATTGGGTTTACATATTGATCGAGCAGTTGAAAAGACCACCATTAGGAGATGAAGCAACACGAAAAATGATTAGCGGTTGTGAAAGAGCTGGTCCATGGCTGAGTGATGGAGTAGGTTGTAGTGCGATAAGTTATGATGGTGATAGGTAAATGATGGTTGGCATAGGGTAGTCGTAAGTTTGGAAGATGATAATAGGGGTAGAGAATGAGATGGGAGAATTGAAAGAGGAAAAGACGGAAATAGTGAGTGAAAATTGAATGGGTGGAGGTTGCTTGGGGAAGGATAAGGATGAGAAAGAATAGAAAGGATAGCGAGGACATATGATAGAAACATGGATAAAGCATAACCAAGAAAAATAGGAAAAAAAAATAGCAAGAAAAATAAAGATAAGATCAGTCGATGAAGAAGAGAACATAAGAACGGTTGATGCGAGAGGTGTGAACGGGGTATAAAAAAGGGCAAATATAATAATGGTAGAAGTGTTATTAGAAAAGCAAAAGAGGGCCAAAATTTAAAACATGAAAAAAATGCTATTGAAAGAATAGTGAAAAGAATAAGACACCCTAGTCTTATGATACGGTAAAAAGAATAGTAAATTGGCTTGTGTTTTAGAGTTTTTATAATATAGTTGAAGACTTCCTTCAAAGTCAACATCTACAATCTAAACATGCATGTTAGTATTCAACTTATCTCCCTTTGTACCTAGGTCTACATATCATGTGAAAATGGAAGAAAATGAAGGAGATGAAATACAAACATCAATCAACATAATACAAGCCCACTTAAGATTTAGTTGTTGTTTAATAATTGAGTAAATAGTTAAATTTATATAATAACTTAAATCTTCAATATGTCTTTATATTTTTAATTACATCTATTATGCCTATAAATAATATTTAAGCTTTTTTATTTTTTTTGATCAATTTTTATTTTTATTTTTTATTATTATTTTTTTTGTAATGAGTAAAATTTTCTTTCTAATTGCCCTTCACTAAAACAAAATGCAACATACAAGTCATGTGATTATATATATATATATATATTGCATTCAAGTGCAATATATGTATACATATATTGCATTTTAGTTGATGGCGATTTCAATAAAAAAAATTGTCTATAGTTAGAAAAATTGAACAAAAGTACTTGATAGATGACTTAAACATAATTAAGTAATATAATAGATGCAATTACAAACATAAAAATAGATTGAAAACTCATGATATTATATAAAGACATATTGACCTACTTATCTTTAAAAAAATGATGAAAATGATGTTTCGAGACACCAATATTTTTTTGGCTAATCCATATATACATTACTCTTGAAAATTCTATTTAACGAAATCATTACTATGGCCAAACATGAGTTCTTCATTGATGTGTCTCCTCGATCAAAGGATGTCTTTACGCCAAATCTTGACCAATTTGAAAAAAATAAGAGAAGTAAATATACTTAGCCAAATTTTTAGGTGCATACTAGTAAATGACAAGATATTTGACATTACACTTAAGACTACTTGTCCGTCAAGAAAATTCTCCACTTATACTTAACTAATTTTTTTAGCAAATCGATTACCAAAAAAAAAAAAAAAAGTGATGGTTATAACATGCTTTAACAAGTCAATACACACGACTTTTTTTGAAAATATATATTGATAAGCAAAAAACATTGTGCGCATAATGTTGGTAACCGATGCCAACTAGCGACGATCTTGGGCACGATAGTTACTAGCTAACACCAAGTTTTGAAAAAGAAAATAAAAATTGATGTTGAGGGTTTGCCAACACGGATAAAAGAAGGGGGAGATGTGTGTGCATTGTTGATTATTGGGATATACTTTTGATCTAATTGTTTGTTTAATACAAATCTTACTAATCTAGAAAGTTGATTCGAGAGATCCACAACTCGGTGGTGATGAAGAACCCATCAAAGCCGTTTGTGAGATCAAAATTCACTCTATTTTCATGAGTAATCTTAGCAAGCCTATAAGCTTTTACTATTTATTTTATTTGTTTCGAAAGGCTCATAACTAGCCTATTGCACTCTTCAATGTTTACTTGGTTGAGACAAGAGACTCGTGACAAGTCTACCACGACCACTATTAGGTATTTTTCAAATTTATTTTTTTCTATCTTGCAATAAATGATTGCATGAACACTTTTATTAGCAAGATTGTCTATGCATAGAGCTAAATTTATATGTTCAATTTGGTCATAAAAATTAATTAAGAGTTTAGGTTTTTTTTTTTTTTATGCACTAAATCATTTTTTTCTTTTTTTGGTATGAATTCAAGTTGTACAAAAAATGGATTGGACCAAGGATTGACGTCGTCTAGCACAAGGCCTTGGGTCATAAAAGGATAATACGAGTATCTTAACAAGACCAATATCCATGTTTTATTTTTTAGATGCATTGCGTAAATTAGTTTGGTGAGTTCGGAGTAAGATCCGTAGAATAAAAGCTCAATTGTTATCTCTTTTAACATTTACTAGTAAATTGAAGTAGTTGAACTCAAAAGAACTTACTTTTCTTCAATTCAAATATGGCTGTCTAAATACAAATGACGTTACATAATTTTAATGATCAAACATCATCTTCAATTCTCTATAAATGCAAAAATTATATCATTAAAGAGCATTCAAATTTTTTTATTTTTAACAAAAACCTTTGGATACAGTCTCTCAAATTTCTTCTACCTACATACGAGATAATATTTACAATTTCAATTTTTTGAACTTTGATTCATCCAATTAAGAAATCAAATAATTAATTTTCTAACAAAGATAACTAAAATTAGTTTGTTTCTCGAAATTAGAAGGATTATTTATAATTTACTTCTGAATGTCGTGCTTGGTGTCCATGGTGTGGGCTTGGTCTTTAATTGGTGAGTTTGAGGAGCGTTAGCAACACCAACGCTCTGGTCACACTATTTTTTTTTCTTTTTAATTCCAAATTGTATTATTTTTGAATAATAAATGGATAATGGCCCAAAAATATAGAGCAGAGGGACAGAACACTCGTTTCTCCGTTGGGTTTGCGAGATTATGGATGATCAAACGTCAAAAGTTTCTTCTTCTTATTATACATCAACAAATATGTTTTGGATGAGACATCGCCGTCTGTCTGTCCTATTCGAAGACTTTGTAGTTCTGATTCTCAAGAAAATGTAAGAAAAAGAAACAGATTCTTTGTTTGATTCTCTTCTCCTACATTTTATTAATGCAATAAATCAACTGTACATTTAAAAATTAAATCGAAAACTCCCAATTCTTTCATGTGTTTTCTTCTGGTTCTCGAGATTCTAGCCGGCGCTCCTCCTCCTCCTCCCGTATTTGACCTCACTCTCTTGTACTTTATCACTGCTTCCTTCTCTCTCTATATAGAGAGAAGAAAAAGGGATCATTGATTCGCAAGTCAAAATAAAGAAAGAAAGAAAAAGGGCCTCCATGGATAGTAACAGGGACGAAGAGGAACCGTTTGTTGTTGCTGCTTCTGTTCATAATTCGGAGATTCGTAAGAGCCATACGAAAGATGTTCATATCTTGAGCTCTGCTTTTTGTTGATCTTCCTTGCCTATGGTGCTGCTCAGAACTTAGAGACCACTCTCAACACTGTGAGCATATATATTTCCTTTGGCTTGACTTTCATCATTTGTATTCATTTTGTGTTTTCTTTCTATCTTTTCTCAGAAGGATGATCTGGGCACGATTTCCCTAGGGATACTGTATGTGTCTTTCACATTCTTCTCTTTAGTTGCTTCTTTGGTGGTTCGATTTCTGGGGTCAAAGAATGCTGTGCTTCTCGGTACTTCTGGTTATTGGCTATTCATTGCTGCCAATTTGAAGCCCAATTGGTAATCGTCCTCATTTTATTGATTTTGATCAGCTTTATAGATGTGAGCATGGCCTGATGACTGATTTTGATTGAATTTGTACACATATTGTCTAATTGTTTACGTTACAGGTATACAATGGTGCCAGCTTCTTTGTACCTTGGCTTTGCTGCTTCAATAATATGGGTTGGACAGGTGCTAGTGGATTTTTCAGAATCATTATTCTCTTATCATTATGCCGGTAATAGCTCAAATATGCCTCCCTCACCTTATTCTTATGGTCCATCAGGGTACATATCTCACTTCCACGGCTCTCAGTCATGCAAGAGATTGCCACTCACATGAAGGAACTGTCATTGGCAACTTCAATGGAGAATTTTGGGGATTGTTTGCTAGCCACCAGGTGCCTTTTCCCTCTTTTCAACAACTTTGTAACAAATGTGGCTGCTTGCTGTTTTAGCCTGAATGATTGAGTTTAATTGTGAATTCTAATTTGCTAAGCTTGCAAAGATCTGATACTCACCCTTTTCTTTTGATTTTGCAGTTTGTTGGAAATCTGCTCTCTCTTGCTATTCTGAGAACTGGAACCGTATGTGCTATTCTTCTGGTTCGCTGTTTATTTAATTGTTTGGTTTTGCTCTTCTCTGATAAATGGAACTGTATGTGCTGTTCTTGTGGGTTCACTATTTATTTAGAGGGCATTTGGCATGACTTATGCAGAGTAATTTTCGACTTTGAGCCATAATTCAAAAGTTGTTTTTTATAACAACTTGTGACAAAAATAAATTAAGTTAAAAAGTGTGTTTGGTTAAAACCAACTCAAAACAACATTCTCAATAAGTTAAAAAGTTCAATTTCTGACTCAATTTTTTTAACTAACTTTGATTTTAAGGCAAAAGGAAACTTATTTGTTTATTTTTTGTATTTTGCTCATTAATGGAAGGTAAAAGAACAAAAGACTGGTATTTTTTCAATTATTCAAGTTTTGAGGATTTGTTGTTTTCTTTCACTTCGTTTAAAATAGTGGTTTTGTTTATCTAAGAGTGTCTCTACTTTTTATAGAATAAAATAAGTTAGGAAGGTGCAACTTGGAAAAAGGCTCTCGGCTGGTTAAGGAGTGAGGATAGGTTCTGTTATATTCTGTAATTCTGTTGTCATGTCATGCAGATGTGGGCGTAATACATTTCTTCTGATTTCATTTTCTTGGTCATACTGCAGGAGGGAAGTACCAGCAGCATAACTTTATTGTTCCTTGTGTTTCTTTGTAGTATGACCTTAGGTACCATATTAATGTGCTTCTTGAGTAAAAGAGATGATAGAGGAGAGGAGGGGCCAAAAGATTCTTCTGTCAGTTTATATTCTTCTCTAGTATCCCTGTTGAAGTCAGTTATCACTCCATTGCTTGATATACGGATGCTATTGACCATCCCCTTGATTGCATATTCAGGATTACAACAAGCATTTGTGTGGTAAATATACATTGAACTAGAGATTTTCTTATGGCTATCCCAGTGACAATTTGAAAAAAGCAATTACTGGATTGGGATAGCCGAATTAGTTTTCTTCTTTCTTTTTCCGTTTTAACTTCATATGCTTTCATTAAGCATGGAGCACATTTTCATTTTAGGGCTGAATTCACCAAGGAAATTGCAACTCCAGCACTTGGTGTATCTGGTGTTGGAGGTTCAATGGCTGTATATGGTGCTTTTGATGCAATAGTAAGTACCACGAGAATATTTTGTTGTATAGTTTCTCTTATATCAATTGCAACAGCTTGATGTAGTGTCTTGGTTGATTCATATGCATCATATCTGCAAGGATAGTCTTTCCACTTCTCCTTATTCCTGCAAAAGTTGTAGAATAACCAAATCTGTGCTCTCCTTCGGACCATGTCATCCATCATAGATGCAAAAAGAATTTCTTCTCTTTGCTTCTTTGAACTAATTGAATAATCAATAATCATATCCTTTTGAGGTTGAATTGTAACTTCTTTTAATTACTACTATGATGCGCCAATACTTGATTTGGGTGTGTCATAGGGATCAAATTCTAATATTTTATGCTTGCTAGAAATGCAGAATACTGTGGAAACTGATGCCATTTTTAATTATTTGACTGAGTGATGCCGGTATATTGTCTCAACTTGTTATTGAATTTTTCTCAGTGTTCACTCGCTGCTGGAAGACTCACCTCTGGTATTTTTTCAATCACTTGGATTGTCTCTGCTGGACTTTTTCTTCAGGCTGTTGTATTTCTCTGGATTCTGCTAAAATACAGGTATTTTGATATCTGCTTTTGTAGTGTTGTCCCACTAAAGGTTTGTGGAACCTGAAGTTCTCTGCTATTTAATTTGAAGATCGTCTTTTCAATTTACACTTCAACCTCACCATATTGCAGTGTAACTAGTGGGTTGCTTGGCATCTTATACCCACTTCTCATGGCAGCCATGTTGGGCATTGGTGATGGAGTATTCAATACACAACTTAATGCTTTGCTTGGAATACTTTTCAAGCATGATACGGTATCCATTGACTCCTTTTATGTTATAGATTGTCCCTTCCTTTTGCTGTGAGTTTTGCTTAGCAAGCAAAAATCATAGTCTCTTCTTGATTTCTCTGGATTAGTAAAAGATTTGGTGTTCTACTCAAATTCCAAGGGAGAAGATAGCAATTTGTTAAATCACGTTGCACAAATGTTTCTCTGTTATGTATTCTACTCAGGACTTGTTTTACTTGCACTTCTATTATCCTCTCTTATGATCATACAATTCTACACATCTTACATCGATGTTTGTATACCGTCATAATGACACGCTTATGAACGTAATTTTATCTTCCATGAAATAAATAGCAAGTGCTACCCCCTGTAAATATTATTATCCACTCAATGTTCTGTGCAGTTTTGCAATCCTACTTTCGGTATTGATTTTTTCTGCCACAGGAAGGAGCATTTGCACAGCTCAAGGTCTGGCAAAGTGGTTCCATTGCAGTTGTGTTCTTTATCAGCCCGTACATCTCGCTGCAGGTGATGCTGGCCATTATGCTTGCAGCACTGTTTGTAGCAGCTGGCGGATTTTTGGTATTGACTCTCCAGATAGAGAAAGCTTTCTCCTCTCCAAGTTGATGATTTTATCGAAGCTGTCGTGTAAGCTCTTAAAATGATTTTCCATGTCATGGTTTGGTGATTTCTGTAGCTGTGGTATTTTTCTGTTAAATATATCCATTTTACCAATTGGTAAAATGTTAGTTTGCTTCGAGCTGCTGTATAATGGCACTGGTCTTGAAAGGCAATTTCATCTCAGTACATAGATGATTCTGCTCCTATCTTGAATCAATTGGATGGTTATTGCAGTGTCACTATTATCTATGATGGCTGATTATTTATTTATTTTATTTTATTGACAAGTGTCACTATTAACTAAGATGTCAAAAAATTAATCAGAGTTCCATCAGAAGGATCATGTTAAAAGAATTAGAATAAAGAGATCAAATAAAAAAAAAGAAGAATAAAGGGACTATATTAAGAAAATGTTAAGATTGTGGACGAAATGATGCTATTAATCCCTCATTTTATGAAGGTAAGTCTGATGTTTCTTGCCCTTTCTTGGGCGATTAGAACACAGTTAACGGATCTACTTGCTTACGTCTTTACAGATGTACACGCCACCAACTCTTTACATATGGACAGCCAGCCATAGACAGAGTGGCTCCACTGTCAAACCTGAACTCGTCGTCTCCATCTCGGAGGTCAAAGTAACTGACTCGCCTTTCATCGTCTTTTTGATTAAATGGTTTAATTCTTTCTTGAGTTTTAAACGATGTGGATTTTTTTTTCAATTATTTTATATTTAAAATTAGATTTTTATTGGGTTCTAGAATTGCACGTGCACCAACAAACATTCAAAACTTAATTTTTTTAAAAAAAAATATTCTTTATTTCCTTACTTTTTAGGATTTCGAAAAAAAAATAACTTGTTTTTTACTATAGAAAAATTATATTTATATATTAAAATTAATAAAAACTTAACATAACGATCAAATTTTAAATAAAAAATACTTCATTCGAAATTAAAAATTGAATGATTGACTTTTATATGATTTTAAGTTTAAGTAAAGTTTGATTAGTGAGAAATGAAATTGCATTGTAAATTAAAAATGATGAAAAATGAATAGAATGACTAATATTTTAAATGAAAAAATAATTAGAAAGGATTCTAATCTAAAATTAAAAGGAAAAACCGATAGCTCGAAACCATAAAGGATTTCTTTATTAGTACTTATCACCTATATATATATATATATATATGAAGTCACTTTAGCTGAACAACAATATTCCCTTCAGATGGTGAAGTAGTTGAGGTTAGGTCTCTCTAATTCTCTACTCCAATTATATTAACAGTATCGATCTCTCAGCTACGATAATCTGAAACCGTTTTTAGATGATGTCTTTCCCCTTCACTTATCTCCGCCGTAGGCTTTCATGGCCTCTGATATTCTATTCTGCTACATGGACGTCTCTCCTAACACTGACAGTGGCAGTGGCCTCATTCTCCCCTGAAGTTGCTTTTGTAGCAACAATATCTTCGTTTTCGCTAGGGTGTGAACAGGAGGGAACTGTTAGAGTTCCACTAGACGTGCCAGGAGAGATCATGTGCTTGCCCGCTCACCTCTTCAAAAGGTCCACCGTCACTGATTCCATTGTTTCTCTCCTCTTTGCAGCGCTAGTGGTGGTTGTCTCTGCTTGGGTGGTTCGAGCCATGGGCTTGTGGGAGGACGATGAGGCCACCCTCTTATGAGGCCTAAGCGGTGTTTTCTTTTTAGATGAGCAGCGGACTAAGGATTCTCGCTTACTATCTCACTGCCCCTATCAATGATGTATCGGACAGCTGAAAATAGGATCGATCATGGCTCGAGCATTATCAAGGATTATTCGATCGTGAACTGTGTTGTATTTTTATTATTACTGTCTGTCAAGCTTCGATATTGCTTGGACAAAGTTTATGTTAAAAAATTCACATGATATTTGAGATGTCTGGAAACCTGCTGATCCGAACAAGTTTTAATGACTTTATTATTTTATACCTTAGTTGACTTAATTTCTTGACAAAACAAATACACCAAAACCCAAAATGGTGCATTTGGTAATAATGTTTTTCCAACATGTTTTTGGCTTTTGTTATTCTTAAATGGTTTTGATACAGAGATAGATATCAAAATTATGAAATATACTTATCTTTTTTTCAAATGAAAAACATTTTCTTTTTAAATAGTGTGATTGTTCAAAATATCATATATAAACCAAAGGAAATTAAGAAACGAACAGTTAAGGCTTAAAAAAAAAAAAAAACTGATGTAGTTTATTAAGTTTTTTAGTATTTTGCTTGATTAAGATCTCCAGATTTACTTGGGATTTTTTTAGTAACCTTAATATTTTATTTTATCTTTTTTTTTATGCACTTTATTGGTTTTTACTTTGACCATATATAGGTACGTGGAACCTATATTTGTTCGATCGCGGAATAATTACTTCTTCGTGACAGTTTAAAGTCCTATGTACGTATTGCTTCTGACTCCCAAAAAACAAAAAAAAAAAAAAAAAAACTAAAATTTAATTGATAACACAAACACATAAATTTATCATATATTATAAAATGTTCATCACATTTTCTTTTAATTTGGCATCATTTATAACAGATTATAAATTATTTTTATTGTTTGTTTGTTATTTTCAAAAACGTGGGAAAAAAAAAAGCTCATTGCATGCATGTTGTTGGACGTGTCCTGCTGGAGGGAATTTTGAGAAATCTCTTCGTCTTCTGGGTGATGACGTGGCTTTAGTGCATGATAGGCAACAAATATATTTACGAGAGTTTGTGATATTTATGATTTAAATCCTTGTGGGAAACTAAGATCTAGCCACCTGTTGATAAAATATATGGGTGAACAAAAGGTCGATCGGCTGTGCTTTGCGATCTGAATGTTTTGCAGTAATTAAGGTTAATTAAATAAATTAACTGTTTCATAAAGAAATGATGTGTGGGTTAAATTAATATATTGGTGAATTAAGAATATGAATAATAAATATTTTATGTTGTTATATATTATTTATGATATGAAATATTTATTTAGATATGGTTTTATCCACTACTCTCTCTTGTCTACAAATTTTTTGGTCCTTGTAGCGAAAATCCACTTTAATTTTTGGGTTTTTGCTTATGCTATCAGTTTAATGGCTTGCCTTCTTTTAGTTTTGTTTGGGAGAAATGCTAGTTCTACCAGTTCACTCCCTTGGCTTGCGCTCTTTTTTTTTCTTTTTTTTTTTAAACAAATTGTTCATAAAATGAGTAAATTATAAAATTAGTCTTTTTAGTTTTGAAAAATGAATTAATTAGTTTTTTTTAAAAATAATTATTTAATTTCTATATTTTTAATTTTGTTGTAACTTAAGTCCTTTTTCCCATCTTTTTTATTTATTCTGATTTTTTTTGTTTCAAGAAATATAAAAAGTGAAAAACATGGAAGGATTAAGATAACATTTTATGAAATAAAATAACATTAAATTAATATAATCAACAGTAATCAAAGGACTAAATAATTATTTTTTCAAACAAGAAAAATTAATTAATTTGTTTCTCAAAAATAAAAAAACTAATCTATAATTTACTATAAATAATAATATTGATCTCATCCGTCAGGAAAATAAAAATCATCAAAAAGTACACAAGTAAATTAATAGAATGTCAATTTAGCTATTGAAATTTAACCACTTCAATCACACAACACAAAATTAATTATTGTAAAGGAAACCAAAACTATAGATAGATATATAGGGTTTCTGATATTTCTCCCTTCTTAATTTAATTCGCAGTTTAATTAATTAGGAAGAGTTGGAAAAAGCTAAGCATTAATTATATATTTCTCTTCATGCTTTTGAAACAGAACCAATCAGCTTATTGCTGAAGTCCCACAGCTTCCTTGCCAATGCTTCATCTCTAGCAAATGCACTGGGTTCCATCTCATTACAGTCCACAAAGTATTTCCCACTAACACCTTTCAAACTCGGGTGCAATGCTACAAAGCATGTTGTGGCTGCCCCCTGAGATTATCAAAATCCAAGAAAAGATGAAAATAAAGAAAAAGTGATGACATTGTTAAATTTAATCTTGTATAATATGAAATTGATATTGATTATGGATATTTTTAAAAGAATATATATCACTTAAAATTTTGATTATGATTAGATAAGTATTTGAGAACAAATAATCTTTTTGGAGCGGAGGAAGTAAAAATTAAAGAGAATTTTAAGAGGCTACCTGAGGTACATTCTTCCATAAGAAAAAAGAAAAAAACTTCAAAATGCCTGCACAAATTTAATAAAAAAAAAAATACAAGGATTATAGGAGACATATACTTCACAATAAGAAAAAGAAAGAACAAGATTAGATAATTACAACAAAAGTAAGTATCAACCCTTTTGCCAGACAGATTATGTGTTTTTGAATTGGACATAGAGAAGCATAAGACATACTCATTGAAATTGCAGAGTATCTGAAGAGATTTGTCATAATTAACCCTGGATGGACTGCATTTGCAGTAATGTTCACACCCTCTTCCTGTATATACAGCATCAAAGAATGACAAAATTAATTTCTAAGAAATTGTTTTGGAATTCAAAGTTCTAAGATTCAAAAATGGATAATTCCCACTCTATATGACTATATATATATGCAGTGACCAAGTTTACCTCTTTTATAGTTTTCATTTTTTTTTTTTTTTTTTTACAATATTTAAAAAATCATAAACCAAGTATATGCTTTAAAGAAATACATTTAAAAAATAAAAATACTTAACATGTTAAACAACCTTGCTAGTAATATGTGTAGAGTCTTCTATTAATATCAATATAAAAATAATAGTGTTTATATATATATATATATATATATATAAACAAGTAATAATAAAATGACAAAACTGAACAATTAATTTGAGATGAAATTTCTATAAATAATAAAATCAAAACTAGAGAGCACAATTAAACATATCAAATAAATCATATATGATTAATTTTAAAATTTAATATTAATTACTTTATTCCGTTTTACATAGTTTAACATGAAAGTATATCATAAATTAGTCTCTCTAATTTTCAATTTAAAAAGGAAAAAAAACAAAAACAAAAACAAAAGGGGTATAGTTCGGTCACCCACCATTCAAAAACCAGCCACGAAAAAAAATTAATGAGCATGGTTTTCAGTATGTTAGTTTACAGGGACAACAATAGATCAGGTTGGGAAATGCTTTTAGCTACTCTTCCTCCATTCAAAATATTCAAATTTGTGTTATCCATCCCTACATTCAAATATTTTTTCTTTAATAAATCAATTTTTTTTATAAACTTAATTATTAAATCTAAATTTAAAACAAACTACTTGTCTATTCATGAATACTATGACTATAAATAAAATTTAAACTTCAAATCTATGCATAATCCATACCTTATATTAAAAATTAAAATTACAACTCCAAAAAAAAAGGTTAAAAAACCAGGTCGAAACCGGATCGGGTGAACTCCTCACCTGATCCTGGTTAAAACTGATTGAATTTAACCAAAAAATCCGATCCAATTGAATCGGATGATACCGAATAACCATACTGTTCGGATGAAACTGCCAGCCCTAGCGATCCATTTTCAGGAATTAGGGTTTTCTCATGTTGGATCTCTGAACCCATAGTTGTCCTATTCTTTTGTTGAAGCAAAGCCTAAGCCTTCAATTTTTTTGTTTCTTATTGAACACTTGATTGTCATTTACTTGACACATTATGGCCAGCATTGATTACGGAGAGCCATGACCCAAGTACATATCATATATACGGTTAAAAAAAGGAGAGAAAAGTTTTGGGGATGTTCTTAATTTGGAAATTATTCTCCTAGGCTGGAAGCAAACAGCAACTTTAGTTTACCTGAAAGCAACGGGAAAGCTCTTTAGCATGTAATATGTTTGCCAACTTGGATTGACCATAAGCCCTTTTGTCAGAATAGCTGTAGCAGAAACAATGGATCAAGTAACCTTTTAACTCTGATTTATATTAAAATGTCTGCGCTAATTAACCATAAACATTCATGAAGAAAAAAGAAGAAAAGAAAAAAACCAACATCCGTTGTAGAAAAACCAATGTAGTACCTCTTCCTATCATTAATTTTATCGAACTGAATCCCATCTTTATAAGTGTGAATGTGGGCAACTGATGACAAGTTCACAATCCTCCCCTCAACCCCAGTAGTTCTTGCAGTGTGTTTCATTTTATCAAGAAGAAGATTTGTCAAAAGAAAGTGACCTGAAGTAAATTAATTTCCCATATTTAGTGGTACTATTATCAACAAAGATCAATATAAAAATCAACCAAGTTAAATTATGTTCATACCCAGATGATTTGTTGCAAATTGCATCTCTATTCCATCTTCTGAGAGCTGGTAGGGACAGAACATGATACCAGCATTGTTTCTGAAACATGAAATGAAGTATTCTTGTATGTATCATGATGGCTTGCATAAATCTAGATTTAACAAGAGATCTGAGGGATTACATTAAGATGTTGAGAGGCAGATCGAGAGCGTTGAAGTTATCAGCGAATTCTGTTACGGATTTAAGAGAGGACAAATCAAGTTTTAGAACATCAACACGGGCATTCTCATCCTCTTCAAGAATAAGCTGTTTAGCTTCGTTTGCAGCATCCATGTTCCTGGCAGCAACAATGACATGGGCTTTGTGTAAGGCCAACACTCTTGTCGTCTCCAAACCAATTCCACTTGCCCCACCTGTTTCCAAATTCATAAGTATAAATTATTCACTCACATAAATACAAATGAGTTCAACAAAAAAAAAAAAAAAGTAAAAGTAAAAGTGAAAGTAAAAGCTGGCAATGGATCAGAAATCACAAAGAAGCGAAAAAAAAAAAAAAAACAAACAAACAAACAAATTAGTGACATGCAAAACGGATATATATACCAGTGATAAGGACAGTAAGATTGGTGGCATCAATCCCTTGTGTGACCTCCTGAGCAGTAGAAGCTGATCCGAACCCACTAGGACCAGGCCTTCCTGTTACCAAAGAAAAGATGCTCATTTTGTTACAGATCGATCTCTAAGTCTTAAGATTATCTAGCTGGATGGATCCTTTTAAAATAAAAGGAAGAAGGAGAAGATTTGTGCAGGGACAGAAAGAGATGAAAGGGAGCAAGAAGGTTATATTCTCAAAAAAGAAGGAAATGAAATGCATGAGATTTAGGAGGTTTTCGTTTTTTAGGTAACAAGTAGAGAGCAAAATTGTGCTTTTTATATATGGAGTAGACGACAGCACATTAAATACCCGTCGGTGAAGAGCTGTTAATGCCCTCAACGACCCCTCAACCATTTGATGCCTTCCTCCACGCCATGATAGATGGACGTCAGCCATTTTCTTTTTCCTTTCTTTCCTTATTACTTGATTAATTAAAAAAAAATACATATTCACTCTTGAAAGACAATTATCAATAAATTTTATGACGATTTTTTAGGACTTGCCCTCTTTGTATGTTTAAAAGAATGATATTTCTTTTCTTTTAATTTTTTTAAACTTTCATAATAATTTTATCTAATATCTAATTTTTCTTATTTGTAAAATAACCTACAATTACATTTTTTTTCTTATATTACTATTATTGTAAATATATTTGGATTATATTCAATGAAATTATATATATAACTCTTCATATTTATAAATCTAGATCCTAAAAATAAAATTTTAATTATCATTAGCACACCGAGGTGCTCCAAATCCTTTTCTAAGAACTATAGTGATTAATTAATAAGAATAAATCTTTAATGTTTTAAAAATTCTAATGTTTTAGGTGAAAATTCCAAAAAAAAAAAAAAAAGAATTGCATAATAAAACTTATTGTAAATTTTTTTTTAAAAGAAAAAAGATGAGTAAAAAAGGACTTTAGATGAAAGTATAATAAGACATAAACATATTTGGAGGAGAAACATAAAAACTAAACTTATTAGTCTAAAAAATATATATATCATGAAACATATTTGTCATATATCTTTAAAAAAATGAATTTATAAGTACCTTTTACATATAAAAATATAATTTTTTTATTTTTCATTGGATCAAGTAGAACATAAAATTTTTGAAGTATTCAACTATATCTTTTAATTAAGATTTCTCTTCTCTCATTTTATTAAAATAAATCATAGGTAATTTTGATAATTCAATTTAATTCTATTTGGATTTTCACTTAAAACTGAAGAGTCCTTGTCCCTAGCTGCAAAGAACCACAACAGCCGTCTAAATGTACGTACATTATGTACACAATTTTTGAAGGAAAAAAAAAAGAACAAAACAAAAACCCTGTCGCATCTCTCTGCAAAATTAGGAAAAAGCAATTGATCATTTTTGACATTTTAATTATGTGTTCATTGCATTTTTTGGAAATTGAAAACAACCTCTGTCCGGTCTTTTTCTTCTTTTTCCGAGTGTGTTTTCAAATTGTCATCTTGCTCTCCACACTGATTTCTAGGTGGGTTTTTTTGTTCATTTTTGGCAAGTTGAAATCTGTCAACTTGATCATCTTCTTCTTCTTCTATTTTGTGAATTATTATGTTTTGAATACTTTTTTTTTCCTTGGATTGATTTGACCATTATTATTGACTTAGAACTCCTTTTAAAAAAATAATTTCAAAATTTTTAAGGAAAAAAGCAATAGATCATTTTGACATTTTAATTATGTGTTCATTGCAATTTTGGAAATTGAAAACAACCTCTGTCCGGTCTTTTTCTTCTTTTTCCATGTGTGTTTTCAAATTGTCATCTTTCTCTCCATATTGATTTCTAGGTGGGTTTTTTTTTTTTTTTTGGCAAGTTGAAATATGTCAACTTTGAATGTCCATCTACTTTTCATATCCCCACTACTCATGATCCTTAATGTGATTCAATTCAACATTCAATATGAGAAATTGAAAAGGTGATGCAATTGATGTACTTTTAATTATTCATAATCCCTTTCAATTCTCATCTCAATTTTAAGGCCTATAAATAGGCCTTGATTGTTCATTTGTTGATGTATAAGTTTTTAGAGAGATTAAGAGAATAACTTGAAGTTTTTCTCACTAGTATTCACTTTATAGTGAATTCTTCTTCTTATTATCCTCCCTTAAATTCTCATATTATTTTTATCTTTCATAACACGTTATCGGCATGATTGTTTTACCAAACAACACAAATCATGTAGCATATTAAGAGGTATGTACCTAATCTATCTTTTATTTTAAATCTAATATTACATATAATATATATTTAAAAACTTGAATAATCTAATATATATTATAATAATCTAATGCATGTTGTTTTGAGAAGTTTGAATATTATTATTATGTTTGTTTTTATTTTCTAACATCATTATTATATCTTGTATTATAAAATTTTTATCATGTCAAACCTCACAAAGCTTGATTTTATGGCCCTTGACATTTCGGACAAGAATTATTTATCATGGGTGCTTGATGCTTGAGATACATTTAAATGCTAATAGCCTTGGACAAACAATCATGGATGATAATCAAGAATCCTTGCAAAACCGTGCTAAGGTAATGATCTTCCTTCGTCATCATCTCCATGAGGATTTGAAAACTGAATATTTAACGGGGAAAGATCCACTTGAACTGTGGAAAAATTTAAAGGAAAGATACAACCACCAAAAAGACGATAATTCTTTCAAAATCTCGTTATGATTGGATGCACTTAAGGTTACAAGATTTCAAAACCGTAAGTGAGTATAATTCTGCAGTATTTAGAATCAATTCTTAACTAAAATTATGTGGAGAAAATATTACCGATTCTGATATGTTAGAGAAAACATTATCTACTTTTCATGCCTCGAATATGCTCCCGTAATGACAATATTGAGAAAAAGGTTTTAAGAAATACTACGAATTGATTTCACGCCTACTTGTGGTCGAACAAAATAACGAGTTACCGATGAAAAATTATGAATCCCATCCAATCGGATCTACTCCATTCCACGAAGTGAATGTGACATCTTATAATAATTTTGGGCGTGGACGTGGTCATGATCGTGGTTGTGGCCATGGACATGGACGTGGTCGTGGCAATAGTCGTGGTTAGAATAATTATCATTATAATCGTGGTGGTAATAATAATACATCTCATCCTCGAAGTTGATAAATTATGAAAAGAAACAAGAAAAGAATAAAGGTGGATCAAGTCGGCATTTCAAAAATGAATATTATAGATGTGGTATGAAGGGACATTGGTCGCGTACCTGTCGTACGGCAAAACACCTAGTTGAGCTTTATCAAGCCTCATTGAAAAAGAAAGAAAGTGATTAGAGGTAAATTTTATATATCAAAATAATGTTTGTGACAATGTTCCTCTCGAAGATTTCGGTAACTTAACATATTTAGATGTTGCTTATTTCTTTGAAGATTCTAAAAGAAAAAATTATTAGGTTAATGATAATTTTTTGAAATTTTGTTACCTTTTTGATAAATAAAGAAGTTTTATTTTTATTTCATCATATTAGTTACCATTTTTATTTATTTGTTTGTTTTTATGTTTATGAAGAATATATTGATATTACCAAGTTTGCAATTGGTTTAAACATCATGGAGGAGAATCTATGCCTTGTGGATAGTGCAACCACACATATTATACTTAAAAATAAAAGCTATTTCTCCAATTTAGTGATGGGCAAGGCTAAGGTTAACACTATATCTCGGTAGTGTTAATTTAATTGATGGCTCCGAAAGAGCAAATATATTACTACCTAGAGGGACAAATTTGATTATAGATGATGCATTATTCTCTCTTAAGTCCCACATAAATTTATTAAGTTTTAAAGATATTCGTTTAAATGGATATCATATTGAGACAATAAATGTTGAGAATGTTGAGTACTTATATATTACAAAAATTAAATCGAGTAGAAAATATGTATTGGAGAAATTACCTGCTTTCTCTTCTAGCATTTATTATACAAATATTCAAATGATTGAAATAAATGTCATAGTAAACCGAAGTTTACTAATCATTTTATTTTATGGCATGACCGATTGGGCCATCCTGGATTTATTATGATGTGAAAAATTATTGAAAATTCGTATGGACATCCATTGAAGAACCATTAGATTCTTCAATCTAATGAGTTTTCATGTTCCGCATGTTCTTAAGGCAAACTTATTATTAAGCCTTCATCAAATAAAATTGGGATTGACTCTCCAAGTATTTTTAGAACGTATACAAGGTGATATATGTGGATCAATTCATCCACCATGTGGACCATTTAGATATTTTATAGTTTTAATAGATGCATATATAAGATGATCACATGTATGTTTATTATCAACTCAAAACCTAACGTTTTTTAGGTTACTTGCTCAAATAATTCGATTACGAGCACAATTTTCAGATTATACAATTAAAACAATTCGCCTTGATAATGTCGATGAATTTACATCTCAAGCTTCTAATGATTATTGCATGTCTATTGGAATAAAAGTTGAACAACCTATTGCTCATGTTCATACTCAAAATGGTCTAGCGAGAATCATTTATCAAAAGTCTTCGATTGATAGCTAGACCATTACTTATGAAAACAAAACTTCCTGTTTATGTTTGGGGACATGTAATTTTACATGCAGCAATACTTATTCGCATCGAGCCCACAAGTTATTAGAAATTATCTCCTCTTCAATTGGTTTCTAGTCATGAGCCTAATATTTCTCATTTGAGAATTTTTGGATGTGCAATATATGTCCCAATTACTCCTCCACAACGAACTAAAATAGGTCCTCGAGAGGAGATTGAAAATATATGTTGGATATGAATCTCCTTCTATAATTAAATATCTTGAACCATTAACGAGGGATGTTTTTATGGCTCGTTTTGCCGACTTGTCATTTTGTTGAAATAATTTTTCCAACATTAGGGGAGAAAATAAATAGAATAAGCGATTAGAAATATTGCAAAAAGAAATTACATGAAATACTTCATCTTTATATCATCTTGATCCTCGTACAAAATAATGTGAACTTGAAGTTTAGAGGATAATTCATTTACAAAGT